ATTCGTTAGTGGCAGTAGAGCTCCTTGTGAAAGAGTTCGTCCAGGCTAGTACTGCCATCTTACCTATTTCTGCCGCCAAGCAGTAATGTCAGCATTACTGTGTTCCGGTTTTAAAGGGTAAGGGTGCTGGTGAAATTACAGGGACATGGGACTTGTCAACTTATGTCTCAGGGTGACGGGAGCAGTGACAGTGCCCCTCAGATCTTTGCAATTTAAAGCTCTGAATGGCACTGTAACTGTTATGGACAGGCATGTAGCTTACAATCAGGCGCACAACTTGTTCGACCCGTCACATGATGTTATTAAAAAAAGTTAGTGTAATGAAAAAGGACCAATTTAGAGAAGACTATTAGGCCACAGAGCAAACTGTTAGGCCGCCAAGATTGCCAAAAATAAAAGTATGTTGGAGTATCATCTACCAAAATTATCCTGTTGGGTTTTTTTATAAAAGGCATAAGCACGCATTTGACATCCATCTCCCCAGATGAAAAGTAACGATTAGTACAGTTATTTATCATGAACATGTACGTACACCAACTAAAAAATGGTCACACCTTTTTCTTTCACCCATAGACATTGTGAATAAATAAATATAAGTTACACTGCCATGTTTCTGACTTTCTCTGACAAGTTTTTTAATTATATTTTCTGTTACGGTGATTTCGAGAAAAAATTTACAAGTTAGACAACATTCCGCGCAATCTTAAGCAAATAATTTATTCTACAGACGAGAGAAATAGAAGGATGATTTAATTTTAAAAGTCGATGCTAGCACAACCGTACCAGCATAGTATAAACAAGACAAGGGTAACTCCTGCCTGTTCAACGCATCAATGCCTACACTTTGCTAAGATTGTCAAATTATTATTTCAATTGTACCTACAGGTTGTACACATGGTTTTAAAAAATGAAGGCGTTCATCATAGTATTTTAGTGCTATATCGAAATAACCTTTGTTAAATGTAGTTTTTACGTATTGACATTTCTATAACAGCATGGCGTATTGATTATGGTATATGATTATGAAATAGAAATTAAATACTAAGCAATTATAAATTTTAGTCAGTCTTATTCAAACCATCAAAAACTCAACAATAAACACGTGTACTAATTGATGTCATTTTTAAACACCGAGCAAATGGCTCTATTTTTGATGTATACATATAATCTCATCGAGTATATAACCAAAAATACAGACGAAATGTCATATAATTTGTTTGAAAACTATTTTTCCAAATCGTTACGGTGACAACTGCGCTCCGATTGGCCAGCCCGAATTCGAAATAATTGACGGGTGTCGTCAATTGTTTCTCTTCAAATCGATCAGTTTAACTTCAGCTTTGGTATAATGTACGAAAATTGCAAAATTACATATTTCATATTTAATTACCGATGAAATGTGATTCCGTTCGTTTTGCAATTAGTTGTTTTACTGTTTTTCCCACTTCACCGATTGGAACAGCCCCCCCATTGTTAGAGATATTTTCTTTATTACAATAAATACAGAATATTTTTGGAATATACGGAGTTGTACCCACAGATCAGTTGTTGGCGGTGTACTATTTCAGTTTTCTGATTTGTGATTTCAGCGCAAACGAGAGTTGATATTTAAAAGTGATATAAGGCCCATTTGCCTGATGAGTTGCCATCGGTGGATGGCCCTTATTTCGTCTCTATTTCTAGTTATATACTCGTTGTATATTCTATATAAATTTTTACTTACTCTTAGATATTTTCAAATTTGACCTAGGCACAAAATAATCTACTACCATTTAAACGTTTCGAAGTTTCTTTTTAAATAATTATTCGTCTCTTTCTGAAAGGGAGCTAGCTATATTATCTATAGCAATCATTCGCTTGAACTGGACACTTATTGGGTTCCAGCTATAACTTTTAACCATCCACGTCTGCTACAGTTACGTGACACTTCGAAAGGCTCTTTTTTTCTTTAATGTAGTTCGCTCGCTTGGCGCTAATTACGCATTTCGAATTTATCTTGAAGACGCTCTTGGTTTAAATAAAGAATTTGAAGCAGTCGAACGATTTTCTAAAACATTCTGGTTGGGTGAATCGAGACAGTTTTGAGTCTATATACATAAATATAGAATAGTCAATTCCATTTAAAAAAAATCTATGTAAGTAATATTTACTTTTGTTGTTGGTTACTTTCGAGGCAAAGATCAGAAAGTAATTGGATGTAGTTTGTAATTATATTTTTACGTGCGGGTGCTGTTCATCTCTACCTAACCCCAAATTTGAGTATTTTTAGGTGGAATATTTTATCTATCTCAGGTACTAGACAATATATTTATTATAACTTTAAGTGAGTATATATATGTATATTTATTATTTTGTGATATCTTTTGGAGCTACTCGAGACGCGTCAGACAAATACTATGATTAAAATGTAGCGAGTTTCAAAAAGGTAGGGTCTGAAAAACAGCTTAAGCTGAGACTCTATCCTTTTTATCTACACAGTATCTATAAGTGATGTTATTTACGACTAAATTGTTTTGTAAATGTAGATAAATAAAGTTCTTTATTATTATTATTATTATTTTTAACCGAAGCAGCTTTATTTTTAGCCGTGAGTTCGAATCCCGGCTCACACCTCTGAGTTTTCACCTCGAGTCGGACTTTATGTGCGAAATTAATTTGAAATTTACCATAAGCCTTTCGGTGATGGAAAACATTGTGATAAAATCTGCACGTCGAAGAAGGTTCACAATCCTCAGAAAACGTGAGAGATCGCCGAATATTATCTGACCTTCTCTTTTTACATGGTTGACTAAATAGTACAATAAAATGTTGCAATATTCTGAACCAAATAAATATTAACATACCTTATAAATACCCTCGTCATAAAATAACCAAAATATTTAATGTACCACCATGCCAGACTAAACTAATTCAGCACTTATTTTTTACGTGGGGAAATCCTCTAGGGTACGTCGGACTCCTATCGACTAAAAGCCCACGGTGTTTCATCTCGGCGCGTTATGCCGAGACTACAGGGGAGCGGGGGCTCTTTCGCATTCTTCCACAGTCCCGACGGCGCTGGCCAGATCTCGGTAGAGTACCGAGAGCCCCTTCCCGCAAGGATGCAGCTGGAGCACACTACATCCGTCCATCACTAAGAGGGGCGCGTTGGAACACTCCGCACGCCACCTAGGGGCCACATCAGGGGCGGCGGCCACCCCCGTGTCCATTATCTAGCACAGTCCACTACCAAGATTATCTTCTACTTACAACCAAATTAACATTCGAATAGTTACAGACATTTTTCCCGTGATGTTTTCAAAAATAACATTCTCGAATCATTTCCCCAGTAAGTTCTTTGTAGTTCTTTTTGTTGCTTATTATTATTTTATTACATTAATTACTGTGTAAGTCTGTAATAGGTAGACATATAAGCCCAATACTAATGTAAAGTTACACTGCTATCTAAGGGTATATGTACCAGTGTAGATGTACCTTATCTATAAAATAAAATAAATAAGTAAACGTGTGAAGTCGCCAACCCGCACTGGGTCAGCGTGGCGGACTATAGCCTAGACCCTCCCCTGAGAGAGTACACAGGTATTCCCTGCAGTGGGACGTATAAATAGGTTGATAATAATGAATATTTTTGACAGTGATTTCATAAACAACCTGAACAATCCCTAACTTCGAACCAGCGTATGTCGCCTCAACGTGGCTTATTTGTTTTTCCTTGTGTTTGTTCGATATGTGCGTCAATAATAATAACAAACTAGTGGAATATTTTTACAAAAAAAAACAGATGCCATATATGTCATGGTAATAAAAACATGATATCCAATAAAAATAAAATGTTGCTAGTATAACGACATCTGTGTCAGTTTTCTGGTAGTTGCAAAAGTACTGGCAAAGTGAAGAAACTTTCATAAATTCTCACAGGTGGCGCTGCTGCAAAAAAAACCATTTACAAATCCAATACAAAGATCCTTAATATTACGAATATAATAGATATTCGTAAGATCGTCCGGAACCAGACAATGTCCGGACACAGGTCCGGAACTCAATTCCTATCACGTTGAGAACAAACTAATATGCCTAAAGGTGCTCACGTGACTCGATATATATATTATTTGTTATAGTACGGTCATTGTCGGACTAGTGTTCAGTACCTAATTTCCGTGGCAATTTTTATTATTTACGCATTCGATTTATTTATTATTTAATATTCGAGAGTTGTACCGTGAAATATTATTACTTACGCGATAATTGCTTGAACATTTAAATAATAAAAATTGCCATGGAAATTAAGTTAGTAGGTGAACACTAGTCCGAGAATGACCGAGTACATTTTAAACCGCGGTGAAATTATTTTAAATACAATCGTCTGCCAATAATTGATCTGGAATATTTTGCTCTTAACAAATATCAGCTGGAAAATTTGTATTCAAGGACCTACAAAAGTAGCTATATAAATGTATCACTACTGGGTACGGGTTTTCCTACTATCTTTATATATAAATCAGGAAAGAAAAGGCGCAAAAGCCATAACCCAAAGTTAGCACGACGAGTATTGAAGAAAAATTTTTAAATTATTAATATATCCTATCATCTCTTTTATTTTTATAACTATGATTACGGCAAAAAGTTAGTTTTTTGGATAATTACAAAACTTTGAGAAAACGGCTCTAAATGCCATAAAAATATGGGATAATATTATTTGATCCTCAAAGATATAATTGATTTATTTGATTAAAATAGCCATTGATTTTGTTTATTTTATGTCCCAGAGAAAGAGGATCAATCATTAAAAAAGATGACCGTTTACATTTTATCCCTGCTGCTTTTGCAAATTTAAAATAGTCATTTAAATGTATGCCTAAAAATATTATCAAACTATATATCAATCTCAATTTTGATAAACTGAACTTTTACGCCGTTTTTTATCTTCTCCAAATTATGTATATGATAAAGAATCGTCAATGTGGTGATAAAGATAAGTGATGACTATATTCTGTCACCAGGTTCCGGTACCACTACCCTCAAGTTCCACGGGAGGCGTATGGCAGGGTTGTCACCAAGGCCCCTCCGAACGTCGTGCGCACCCCTGATTACGATGAGGTGAGTCTGCAAACTAAACTCTCGTACCAAAGTTCTTTTGCCAATTCGAATTTTTTAAAAAGCACACTAATCGTACGTTGAAAACAATACCGTCGTTAGCGAAGGAAACATTTGCTTTTTGAAATTTAAACTTAATTTCAGAAACTTTAACGGTCATTTCCCAAAAGCTTGAGCTTGAAAACAGTTTTAGTAGAGCTCCTTGTGAAAGAGTTCATCCAGAGAAGTACTGCCACTACCCATTTCTGCCTCCAACCAGTAGTGTGAGCATTACTGCATTTCACTTTTGAACGGTAAGGGTGCTGGTGAATTTACAGGCATATGGGACTTTTTTCTTTGTTTATTAGAGGGTTTGTTCTTAATAGAATATGACACCCCCATAGGAACATAGCACCACTTAATCCACAAAACAAATCAATACATTAATAACTGATAATTATCTACAACTGCCTCTGTGGCCGAACGGTTACCATGCTGGACTGCCACACAAAGATCGAACCCGGGCCTCGATTCCGACCGAGAGAAATATTTGTATGGCCTACATTCACTTCTCTCGTGAGTTTGAGTGTAATTTGTGGTTGTCTATGTGTGTGTTCATGGTACCCGCGGTACAGGGTTTCCCTAGTGCGGGGCTATGAGAAAGTGAGCGTGTGTGCGCGTTTATTTTATACATGTTTGTACCATGGGGTACAGCCCTCTGGCGACTTTGGATTTAGGGTTAACCAGTATGCTGTTACACATACCCACACTTAGTACTGGCAAGTTGAATTTGATGCCCAGCTGAAGCCTCTCAACTTCGCTCCAGCCACATTCCACTAGGAAGTGGTATAGGTCCTCGCTCTTGTTACATACAGAACAGTAGGGAGACGTTTGTCGCCACGCCTAAGGTTTAATCATAATGTCAATTACATATGCGCTTTCTTTGTATCACAACAGCCTTTAAATAGAGTATCTGTAAGCTACTAGGATTCCTCTTCAATAATACAACTCCGTACATAGGCACACAGTTTAATCACCGTTTAGAGAAATTACAAAAAACACACTTAAAATATATAAAAAATTACGTGCGGTCGTTTCGCGAGACTGCTGGCCGCAGGCAGAGGGCGCTGGACGACCGATCGCTTTTGTATGTACCTTAAGTAAATACACACGCGACATTTTTTACAAAAAAAATAACAAATAAAAAGGCTAATATATTTATGTAAATGTGAGCGCGTCGTTAACAGTATCTTTCTTCGGGTATACTTCTTCTAACTCCAATTTACTTCTTAGACTACTATAATTATGCTAATAGGTCCTTGACCTCATATCGATCCTCTGGATCTGAACTAGTGAGATCCTCTGATCCCTATAATGGGCCTCCAGATACGCCGCTACAACGTTACCTCTGCCACCGCTTCATGCCACCTTATTATACCTGTAGTACAAGTGGCGGATCTCATTCTAATCCTGTTACTAATTCGTCATACTCTATCTTCAGGCTGTCTAGTCACCAAATACTGTATCTAAGTTAGTAATAAACATTGTGCAAACTTACCAACTGTAGTGCCGACCAACCAGTGCACTCTCAGCAGACGCCTAGTATCTCACCTTCAGAATTTGAGATGCCTGGACTGCTGTGTTAGTACCCTACTCTTAGGTATCATAACAGACTAAATTTATTAATGCTTGATATTACAAAACTAATACAAAATTGCTACATAATTCGCGACAACGTTGTCCTACCCATCAGGTGGGAGAAACTGGTTACTGGGATAACTGTTATGATGTCATTTCAGCTCATGTCTGCTGCATCAATCCAAGGGTAGTTGGGGAGGCAAGGCTTGTATTGTTTTATAGATAGATAGAAAGATAATAAACGTTGTTGCTCACAAAGGAAAAAAAACAAAAGCAGTACATAAATAACTTAGAATTAATGTGGGCAATGGCGGTCTTATCGCTGAAAGCGATCTCTTCCAGTTAACCTTTGAGGCAGAGGAGAACTGAACAGAGAGGAAAATATAGCGTGCCAATGGTAAAAACTTTAATGCATTATTAGGAACTTACATTATCATATTTTGAAATAATAAATGACCACACACAATGATACATTTTATAGCACATTTTTATACGATTCTAAAACCAAGATGAAATTTTAAAAAGTTTTTTAATAAATAAACAGCAATACCTATCAAATCTAACTTATTACAAACTCTTGAAAAATATTTTACTAATTTTTCTAAAAATTAAATTACATTTCCATAAATCGCACATGACAACTAACATAGTATTATCTCAAAATTGCTTTGAGTTATATTAATATTACCTATTTAATTTCAAAGCGACAGTGTCGTGCTGTCATTTTGATATTAAATCGTATACGAATGACATGCAAATATAGCTAAATTTTGGAGATAAATTAGTAATATTACGCAATAATATAACATAAGCCACAAAAATCAAGATACAAAACTTTTGAAAAGGCCCAATCATTTAAATATCGAACAAAATCACGTGTTCCGTGTTCCAAATTCACGTGTAAATGCAATATGAAGAACGAAAAAGTTTTTATATAATATAACATATATAATATAACATAAGCCACAAAAATCTCGGTAAAAAACTTTTTAAAAGGCCCAATCATTTAAATATCGAAAGAATCACGTGTTCCGTGTTCCAAATTCACGTGTAAATGCAATATGAAGAACGAAAAAAGTTTTTATTAATTGTATTATTTTGCGAAGTCAAGATTGTTTACATAAGCTTACTTTTGTTTCAGTTCTATGTTTAGAACAACTACCAAAAAAATAAGAAAGAAACGTGCTTAAAATCTAACAAACGTAAAAAGTCGACTGCGTAATCAAAGTCGGGTTGTAAACACTTTTAAATTATCGAATATTGCTAGCTATTGTCAATGAAAACCGTATCTTGTTTGACATTTGACGTATAACAAAATGAGCTATATATAGAGCAAAACATAACCTACTTCTGGAATGTGACCGCGAGTCTTCAAAAATCTTCTTTTTAAACTTAAAAATTATAAAAAAAATTAATTATATTTTAAAATTATTAATACGAAGATGAAAAATTCCTTCGGTCCGGCCGAATTCCAACCGATGTCTCCTAGCAAACCGTGCCAGCCGCTATGCCAACTAAGCCACGGCACGAACCAGTGGACGTGACGAATTTTTCTATGTGTTTGTTGTCGGATCTTTGTATTTGGTTTTGGTTTTCAACTTTTTAGCCGTAGCGCCATCTATGAAAAATCTACGAAAGTATTTCGTCACCCGGTTAGGTACCTTTACAGCTACCAACCCTGGCTAGAGATGTTGCTACTAACTATTATTAAATTTTTATTGAATGTCAGAATGTTTAACCACATTGTGTGTGTTAGGGGATACACAACATTCAATAAAAATTTTATTATAATTTAAAATTATTATTTCTTCTTTAGTTATTTATTATTCACATGCATCACTCTTGTCAGTTTTTAGCCTACTTCAAAAAGGAAGAGGTTCTCAATTCGACTGTACTTAAACTTATTTCTTTCGCGTGTTTGGGTTTAATTTGTGGTTATTTATGTGTGTGTCCATGACACCCGCGACACAGTCTGGCTAATGCAGGGCATTGTGTGTGTGCGTTATTTGTTTTTTAAAATTAATGGATGTTAATACAAAAGGCAACGTTATTCCTTAGTACCAATTTCTTTCAGGCAACCATATGATCCCTGTGGCGTCATGTACCTGTGACTTTAATGTCAAGTTACGCACATTTTGTAAATGTTTAGCTGAAATACGCAATAATAAGGAATACATTGTAATGAAACCTGCATATCGAAGAAAACCTTGAACCCTCGACCCTTGTGGAAAAGAGAATCCACAATACGGCGAACTACGACCTAAACCCTCTCCTTCGAGGAAACTCACGGAAACAATTTTACAAATTAAAAATATTTAGTTTCCCAAATCGGTCTCACTGGTAATCATACACGGGACTTTTTCATATAACCAACTGTGCTTGTGGTATATGAAGAACAGCCGATTTGTTCATACGTCAAATAACGAATGAACAAAATAAAATCAACTTTATATACTTTATTAACGTTATAAATTCGTCTGTAGCCACATCTCATAAATACATTAAAAGGTGAGGGAATATCCGAACCTATGTTTACACTAGGGTTGTCGCGAATATCAGCATCTGCATCCGTATCCGCACTCATTGATGCTGATATTCTTTGTAATCACAAGTTCGAGTGGTGACATGACCTAAAGGCACGCTGGAATAATTTCAATTTGTTTCACGTCAAATCGAACCGTTTAACTTGCTATAATAATAAATAATAATATTTTGTTTGTTGTTAATAATAGTTTATTTGAAACATATTTAATTACCGACGAAATGTGATTCCGTTTGTTTTGTAATTAGATGTTTTGCTGTTTTTCCCACAACTCCAAATGAAACAGCCCCCCATTGTTACGATTATTATCTTTATTACAATAGATACAGAATATTTTTGGAATATACGGAAGCGTACACACAGGTGAGTTGTTGGCGCTGTACTATTTCGGCTTTCTGATTTGTGATTTCAGCGCAAACGAGACTTAATATTTAAAAGTGATATGAGGCCCATTTGCCTGAGTTCTCAGAGATCTCTATTTCTGGTTATATACTTTTTTTTTAGGAAATTACAGTTCATATCGTCATATTGATTAAACTGTACTGCTCATTCCCGAGGCAGATTCCCCTGAGAAGAATGAGCAAGAAACTCTACGAGTTGCTCTTTGTACATATATGTATAACTGTCTCCGTGGCCGAACGGTTACCATGCCGGACTGCCACGCAAAGTCCGCAGGTTCGGTTCCCTGGCCGGGAGAAATATTTGTATGGCCTGCATTTATTTCTCTCGTGAGTTTGAGTGTAATTTGTGATTGTCTATGTGTGTGTCCATGATTCCCGCGACTCAGGATTTCCCTAGTGCGGGTCTATGCTGGTGAAATTACAGGCACATGGGACTTATCGAC